CTTCCTTTTCAATAACACAAATAAAAAACCTTTTTTCCGTTTCCTTTCTTTTCCTTTCATCTCTTTTCCCTCTATATTCTTTCTTTATTTTATTCCCAAATTCGGAAAGACGATTAAATGTCTTATTTAAATATTACTTTGGCTTAAGGTTGAAGTGATATTGTAATGACTAGTATATGAAGGGATTCATATGAAGATGTAAAATCCATATATGAGTACAAGATGGGGATTTTAAGATGGATATTCTGTGTACATAAATTTAGATGAAGGAGATATGATCTGAACACTGAAGCTTATAAGGATGCCTGAATTCTGACGCTTTCAAACTCAACTTGATTTCGACCACGAGCAATCCAATTTTGAGAAACTCAAAACATAAAATCTTTAGGTATATTTGTTATCTTTATTTAGAATTTAAGCGACCTAATTAGAGTCAGGATGACTGATTTAATGATTAAAAACCCTCCAGTGGCCCAAACTTGAATAGGTAACTAATGGGGAGCAAACCAAAGGCTTGACCAGTTGAGCTACTCTCCAAGGATTTGCTTAGGATAATTTTGTATGTGAAGCTCCAGTTGATTGGATTTGATGATTGACAAACTAGCTGATAAACACTTAGTAAAACTAAGAGTTCTAAGGTAGTTGATAATGGTTACTACCATTGATACTAAAGATTAATAGTTGGTACAAGAGAAGAAGAATTGCCTTAAGGACCATGTCACTAATTAACACCGGGTCAATGGGTGAAGGCAAGAAATCGGTGGTCAAATTGTTTATGTGACAAAAGATCAATAACTGAGTGGTTGAACATATGATGAAGATACCAAAGGAAAACCCTTAACACCTGTTGACCAAATGGAAGTTGATGTCATCGATTGATCTTAAGCAATTGAGGAGTCTCTCACTAATAAACAAGTCCTTCGTAGTTGATGTTAAGCATCTGTAGTCCATTAACAGATGTTTTGTCATATTCAACAGAATTAGGACAACCAGTACACTTGATAATGGGAAAGGTGTTTTCACGACATAAAAGACTATAAAGACACCAAGACTGTGGAGATAACAAACTTAGCGTTGAGCACGATCTCTTAATGGTATATTAATGCCAATGAAAATCAACCATGTGGAAGATATATTCCTTGTCTTTTATTATAAATACCAATTGCGTGCAAATAAATGCAACGTGCAAACAAAAGTCTACCAAGAACACCGAATTCCAAGTATTCAAAGCTTTCTTCGCTCGAGTTGATTATATCATCCCCATTTACACCCGTTCTTCAAGTCCTCATGAAGTAATTGTTACTTTTAAATAGAATCATTCAAGGATGAGTAAAGTACATTTGTAATGATGAATTGGCATCATATTTGTCAATGGTATAATTTGTTGTAAGCATTTTATCATTCGTGATGTAGTATTTTATTTCACAAACGAATTATTCCGTTGTAAAGTGAAAAGTGTTAGTGTGCTCGTGTGCCACTCTCTTATATAAGGGTAAGTTTAAATGAGAAGTTAAACATTTTGCGAGAAGACTAAAAGTTTCAATATCATATATGATTACACATGATAGACAAGTTTAACCATATATGATTAAATACATGTTGCATTGACAAAACATAGACGTTTACATATGTGATTAAGTATATCCAAAGAAGTGTAATCATATATTGAATCTCTTGCCTTCTCGCAAAATGTTTGATAAGCATGGTTTATTACATGCTTAAAGTACATATTTCTTATGTTTATTAGGTAGATTTTCATAGTTTATCCCAACCTTGAGTCATTTTTACTTCTTTATTTTCCATTTATTATGTTTGGAGCTAATTATGATGATGAATCTGTTTTTACAACAAGTTGGAGTAGATAACATTTCTTTGACTCATTGCACTGCACTGTGATGCTGCAGCATTCCAACAGCATCGCCCGGCT